CTAAAACCCATTTAATACGTACAATTTTGTAGTGACGTCATCACATTCTTGGTGGGGATGATTAGCAAAATTTGGGTTAGCTTTAACCATCTACATGATATTTCTAATGTAGATACAAAATTTGACAACAATCGGTCCAGCAATTTCGGAGATTACGTGTCTAATAAAAATGGACAGAGACACCGGACAGACAGTTGGAAACGGGAGAATAATTTTTTCGTACTCTAGGGGTCATGAAACGTCGAGAAAGTATAAAAATGGCAATTCGGTGTATGTCACAATCAAGGAGATAAGAGAGGAGGAAAGCGAACTTGTAGTACAGCATTAATACATACGAAAAGAATTACTAGTAATTTTCATTGTAGTTAATTTATTATCATACTTTTTCAGTATACCTACAGAAAGAAAAACACAAAATCAGTTTTTTTTTTAAGTAAACCATCAAAATAATATTTATAAAATCACGTAAACGTATCAATAAAACTGGACCATTACTACAATTTTACTTATAATATAGAACCATAAAAACGAATATCGGAGATAAATAAAATATGTCTTCTTGATAATACAAGAATCCAGAATAATTTTTAAGCCATAATTCTTTCCTCAAACTGTTTCAAACGAGAACGAATCCGTTATGTCCACTTTCAGTACTCATTGTAATAAATGGATAAGAACTTCATCAGTTGCGTCCTTTTGTTATAGAACCACTCTATTATTAATAAATATTATTAGGGAAAATGTGTTATTGCTGTTAACACGAAAGAAAATGGATATTTTTCCGAAAAGGACCGAAAACAGGGTAAGTACAGCTTCAGTTTCAATTTATCAGGTTCTGTGATTCGTTTCCTCGACAAAGTTTAAATTTTGGGGAAATTTTCAAAACGATTGAAGTTGGTCGATCAAAGCTATAAATTTTCACGATATAATGAAATAATATTTAAATATAATTAATATTATTTATAATGTTTAAATACAACGCGTATTAATTAAATTAACTCGAACACCGTTTTCTTAAAAACACGAAGTTAGTAAAAACAAAGCAATGTGTTTAAATATTATTAAATTAACCCCGAAAATGTGCAATTTCCCGGCCGAAATATGAAAAATATCTTTTGCAATCTCATCGTGACGTACGATGACGTCACTGTCACATGAGCACCTGAGCAAAGGTCATATTTTTCGGCCCCTTGTGTTCAATTTAGATTTCGGTTTGATGGCAGCAACATTGTTTCTGCGGTTTGTCTCAAAAATAGGGCTCTTTTCGCGAATTTATAATTCACTATTAATAAATATTAGTGAAAATGTGTTGTGTTGGTGATGTGAACACGAATGAAAATGGATATTTTTCCGAAAAAGACTGAAAACGGGGTAAGTACGACTTCAGTTTTAATTTATCAAGTTCTGTGATTCGTTTACTCGGCAATGTTTAAATTTTGGAAAAAATTTCGAAACGGTTGAAGTTGATCGATCAAAGCCATACATTTTCACGATATAATTAAATAAATTTAGACACAATTAATATTATTTATAATGTTCAAATATGGTAAGTAACTATTAATATATGATAATCAAACCGAAAACCGTTTTACTAAAAACACGATGGTATTAAAAACAAAGTAATTTGTTTAAATATTGTTAAGTTCATCCTGAAAATGTCTAATTTCCCGGCCAAAATATGAAAAATAATTTTTGCAATCTCATCGTGACGTGCGATGACGTCACTGTCACGTGAGCTACCTGTCCATAGGTCACGTTTTTCGGTCCTTTGTGTTCAGTTTTAATTTTTCTTTGATGGCGACAAGATCGTCGCGTCCTTTTGGCGTAAAAGTAGAGCAATTTCGCGAATTTCAAATCTATTATTAATAAATATTAGGGAAAATATGTTGTGTCTTATTGTGAACACGGATGAAAATGGATATTTTTCCGAAAAGGACCGAAAACAGGGTAAGTACGACTTCAGTTTTAATTTATCAGATTCCGTGATTCGTTTCCTCGACAAAGTTTAAATTTTGGGGAAATTGTCAAAATAATTGAAGTTGGTCGATCAAAGCTATAAATACGATACGTATTAATATATGATAATTAAATCGAACACCGTTTTCTTCTTAGTACCTGTTAATTTAAGATCGATTTTGGCAAATGACATTTCATTGAGGAAAATAGAGGGCGGGTGGGCGGGCTTAGTATCTGATAATTTAAGATCGATTTTCGCAAATGACATACCCTCGAAGAAAAGAAAGGGCGGGTATAGTGTCTGCTAAAATCTTTTTTATCTTACTAGCTACTAGCCCCGCCCACCCCCTCTCACGTTTCTTAGAGGATAAGTCATTTGCCAAAGTCAGTTTTATCAAGCAGGATTTAGCTGCCTGCCCACCCGCCCTCTCTTGTCTTAGAAGGTATCTCATTTGCCAAAATCAGTTTTACCTTAGCATGTACTAGCTAGGATACTACTGATTTTAGCAAATGAGATACCTTCCAAGAAACGAGAGGGTGGGTGGGCGGGCCTAGTACCTGATAACTTAAGATCGATTTTGGCAAATGACATACCCTTGAGGAAAATAGAGGGTGGGTGGGCGGGCTTAGTACCTGATAGTTTAAGATTGATTTTGGCAAATGATTTACCCTCGAAGAAAATAGAGGGCGGGTGGGCGGGGATAGTGCTAAAATCTGTTTTATCTTACTAGCTACTAGCCCCGCTCACCCCTTCTCACGTTTCTTAGAGGATAAGTCATTTGCCAAAGTCAGTTTTATCAATCAGGATTTATCTGCCCGCCCACCCGCCCTCTCTCCTCTTAGAGGGTATCTCATTTGCCAAAATCAGTCTTATCTTGGCAGCTATTAGCCCCACCCACCCGCTCTTTTCTTAAAGGGTACGTCATGCCAAAATCAGTTTTACCTTAGCATCTACTAGCTAGGATACGACTGATTTTGGTAAATGAGATACCTTCCAAGAAAAGAAAGGGTGGGCGGGCGGGCATAGTACCTGTTAATTTGAGATCGATTTTGGCAAATGGCATACCATTGAGGAAAATAGAGGGCGGGTGGGCGGGCTTAGTATCTGATAATTTAAGATCGATTTTGGCAAATAACATACCCTTGAAGAAAATAGAGGGCGGGTGGGCGGGGATAGTACCTGCTAAAATCTGTTTTATCTTACTAGCTACTAGCCTCGCTCACCCCCTCTCCCGTTTCTTAGAGGATAAGTCATTTGCCAAAGTCAGTTTTATCAATCAGGATTTATCTGCCCGCCCACCCGCCCTCTCTCCTTTTAGAGGGTATCTCATTTGCCAAAATCAGTCTTGTCTTGGTAGCTATTAGCCCCCCACCCAGCCGCTCTTTTCTTAGAAGTTATGTCATTGCCAAAATCAGTTTTACCTTAACATCTACTAGCTAGGATACGACTGATTTTGGCAAATGAGATACCTTCCAAGAAAAGCGAGGGTTGGTGGGCGGGCTTAGTACTTCTTATTTTAAGATCGATTTTGGCAAATGACATACTCTTGAAGAAAATGGAGGGCGGGTGGGTTGTTATAGTGCCTGCTAAAATCTGTTTTATCTTACTAGCTACTAGCCCCGACCACCCCCTCTCACGTTTCTTAGAGGATAAGTCATTTGCCAAAGTCAGTTTTATCAATCAGGATTTATCTGCCCGCCCACCCGCCCTCTCTTCTCTTAGAGGGTATCTCATTTCCCAAAATCAGTCTTGTCTTGGCAGCTATTGGCCCCTCTACCCACCCGTTCTTTTCTTAGACGGTACCTCATTGCCAAAATCAGTTTTACCTTAGCATTTTTTAAATATTATTAAATTAACCCCGAAAATGTGCAATTTCCTGGCCGAAATATGAAATATAATTTTTGCAATCTCATCGTGACGTACGATGACGTCACTGTCACGTAAGCTACCTGAGCAAAGGTCACATTTTTCGGCCCCTTGTGTTCTGTTTAGATTTCGGTCTGATGGCAGCAACATCGGAGCTCCCGTTTGGCTTATTTTCGCGAATTTCTAATTTATTATTAATAAATATTAGTGAAAATGTGTTGTGTTGCTACTGTGAACACGAACAAAAGTGGATATTTTTTCAAAAAGTAGTACCGAAAACGGGGTAAGTACGACTTCAATTCAAAAATTTACCATGCTTATGATAACTTTAAAACATCTCCAAGATTTCAGAACATTCGGTTTTGTGGTTCCTGATTAAATCAATAAAATAAATTCAGGCATTCAATTTTTTTCTGAGTCACCTGTATATGCAAATCCAAAAAATATTAATGGAACGGTAAATCACAAGTACAGACTTATCATATTTTGTACATTTTAGATAGGATTTATTCGGCAAAGTTTTGAGCTGACGTCATCATTTTTTTGGAGGGGATAAGTAAATATATTTTGATTAAAAATTTATCATGCTTATGATAACTGTAAATCATCTGCGCAAAATTTCAAAGCTTTCGGCTTTGCACATTCAAAATTAAATTGCAAAATGTTGTTTTATAATTTTGATTTTTTTTTTTCAAAAATCTGGATGTTTCGGGTAAAAACTCAATACGGAGTCGTAAACTACATGTATAGGACTATGTTATTTAATACAATCTAAAACCCATTTAATACGTACAATTTTGTAGTGACGTCATCACATTCTTGGTGGGCAAAATTTGGGTTAGCTTGAACCATCTACATGATATTTCTAATGTAGATACAAAATTTGACAACAATCGGTCCAGCAGTTTCGGAGATTACGTGTCTAATAAAAATGGACAGAGACACCGGACAGACAGATGGAAACGGGAGAATACTTTTTTCGTACTTTAGGGGTCATGAAACGTCGAGAAAATATAAAAATGGCAATTCGGTGTATGTCATAATCAAGGAGATAGAGAGGCGGAAAGCGAATTTGTAGTACAGCATTAATACATACGAAAAGAATTACTAGTAATTTTCATTGTAGTTAATTTATTATCATACTTTTTCAGTATACCTACAGAAAGAAAAACACAAAATCATTTTTTTTTTAAAGTAAACCATCAAAATAATATTTATAAAATCACGTAAACGTATCAATAAAACTGGACTATTACTACAATTTTATTTATAATATAGAACCATAAAAACGAATATCGGAGATAAATAAAATATGTCTTCTTGATATTACAAGAATCCAGAATAATTTTTACGCCATAATTCTTTCCTCAAACTGTTTCAAACGAGAACGAATCATCCGTTATGTCCACTTTCAGTACTCATTGTAATAAATGGATAAGGACTTCATCAGTTGCGTCCTTTTGTTATAGAACCACTCCACCTTAAAATTATCTTTCTACAAAGTAGAGCCTGTAACGAAAATTTTATGATATTGCGTTATAATCCGAGCAACAAGTTAGTTCATGAAAATGTTATCACAGAAAGTATCACAGTTTCCTTTATTGAACTGCTGACATTTAACAAGTGTCTAGTGTGAGAATGAGGAAAGAACCATGCCCTACAACGTAGTGGAAAAAATAAAAATGCACGGACAAAAAAAAGCACATAAAAATTAATTTGAATCCGAATCTACGCCAATGTGTTTTCTTATATTCACTCTAGCTTTACTAACGCGTTTTTTAAATTTTTCGTAATTAAATTCATCCTCGGAGTCGCGTTCGTTATTGTAGAAATCATTACTAGAACACTCTTGGTGATTTCTTGTATTCCTAATTGGATAAGGACTGGTACTAGAACAAGGTCCCGTACCGCAACCACTGTCAGAAGCACTAACTGTACGCCTCTTCTTCACGGGAGTACGATAATCGTACTCGTAATCAGTGTCACTCTCGCTCTCATTACAGTACGCGTTATAAGAGTCAGTACGCACGAAATTTTCGGCACTACAAGAAGCACGTCTCACACCAGAACAACTCATATTATTGGACGTTGAAGCGCAATTTTCTTCGAACAGGGCCATGCATCCGTTGCTTACGCATTCGTGGGCCAAAATCGAATTATTTGATCGATTTGATGTCGAAGCTTGTCCGTAATCGTCATTTCTGACCGTAACCACATTAGCATTCGAATTATTGTTAGTCATTTCTAAGACGTTTATATACATATCGTGAGTTCCGTTTAACGGAGTAGGCAATATGTTGACGAAATTGTTCTCTTCTGATCCTCCGTTCTCTGTACAATTATTTGGAGGCACATCTTCGTCGGAGTCTTGCTCGATTACTCTAAACACCGCATTATTGGAACTCGTGATACCTGTGCTTGTACTTGGAGCGTCTAAAGAATTATTTGACGGACTGCTGCTATCACACATTTCTCGCAAACTCTGTCGTGTTCTGTACTTTCGTAATTTACTACGTTCCGGCACAAATTTATGTTTGTGGTTGTCTCTTTCTATGGTTGAATGTTTGTTTAACAACGTCGATTTTTTATTAGTGCCGTTGTTTTTCTTAAACTTGGAAGAGGTTTTTGATTTTTGTGTAGCTTTTTTTTTCCTGTTCTTCTCCTTCATATGGTAGCTACAAAATTTATAGGATATTTGTAAGCGCCGTTGTATTTGTGCGTTACTTACCGTAAAACTTGGCTAGTTGCTTTGTCATGAGCCATTCTTGCAAGACGACTTCGTTTCTTCGCTATCAATTGAGCAATTCTGTTTGTTTTGTGCTTCTTATTTTCTTCCTGCGGTATCTTGCCATTGCAAAACATTTCATTTAAAATACTTGCGACATTCTGAAACACATGAAACTAGAATTAAAAAATCACATTAACAAGAAATTTGCAGTAATAGACTAAGCTTAAATGTGATTCTTTATTGCTAATTTGAAACAGGCTCACACGTGTTGTAAACTCACAGTTCATGTTAGGATTTTAATCGTTAACTAAGTCTAACACAATTTAACGGTCTGGAAATTTTTTAGACAAAGTACTTGCTAGGAGATTTCATGAGATTCACTTAGTCAGGACTCGTCCTTTGATTGTTAAGTTCATTTACGGCAGTTAAAATTAACCTAACGTTATCCCACTCCGGAAAAAGGACCGTGAAAGTACGGTAAAATGCCTCATATCGTGGACTGAAGTACGAGAGATTATAAATTTTTCCCTTTAGGCAGTTATCATCGTATTTATCATCACATCACCGAGACATTTGAAACTTACCCCCACACCTCGCAACGCCTGATACATTTTTTTGTTGTTTATTTATCATGTGTTTTGTTTGGGAAAAGCTGAGGACAGTCCACGATATAAACTCTCAAAGCTAGTTGTTTTAAGTAACCAATCACTTGGATCAAGGTATAATTTAACATAAAATTCTTTGTTTGAACCGTTGAAAAAGTGTAGCATAATTTAACGTTAAGTAAATTCTTTGTTCTGCCAGAGTATTTACAAACAGAGCACATGTTTGAACTGTAAAATCTTATTGAACAAATTAACAACATTGTGGGACGTGCATTATATTCCTTTGATTTCGACAATTATTTGCACAACACACATGTTTTTGTTTCTGTGTTTATTGAAACTACTTCACTTTTAAAAATTAACCAATAACTCTTTGTTACATAATTTAAATTGAACGTAAAATTTCATGCTCTGCAGTTTCTAACCTCGTATTTTTTTTATCTGCACAAGTTTCATTTCATATCAGATTTTGTTGTTTTTAAATCCTTTGCTAGTTTTTTTATGTAAATATTTTGTTGTCCAATCTTAATCTCTTAAAATGGAATTGAGGTAAATAACACAATAAAACGTGGCGGAAGCGGAGTGCCCGGTCCCTTGTCGAGCCGCGGTCGCGCCATCCACACACAGGATGCAGGCCTAGGTTAGAAGTCAGGGGAGCGGTCGGGATGACGTGACACCGTCAGCTTATTTATAGCCGTGATTTCCAACCACGAGTTTGCGACCGTAACGGCTTGTGCTTGCCGAAAGGACAGATTAGAATCACCGTCGTGGTGGGAGAATAGCCACAACCAGGAACCCCAAACTCCGCTCGTGCTACAACGCCCCCTATGGGTATTTTGCTGTGCTCTAGAATGAAATTGATATAGTTCCATCGCCACACTCTTATAACGTTCTAGTGCCGCTGCCGTTGCACAGTATTTTATTAGCATCCACTTTACTTCAGATTTTGCTATTGTTTTTATTAAATTTGTGATATTCATATATTTGCATTGATTCAGAACGTTTCATTCGGTTTCATTCATTTTTTTTAGCGGAGCATTAAGCGGTGTCTTCAACTTAGTCGCCTTTACGAATGATTAAATGTGTTGACACGTAATAATTGATATGTATAAATATGTATTGTTAATCTTTTAAATTGTGCATAATTCATTTTTAATAAAAAATATAATCATCTCTCTGCACTTATTTTTACGTGTGAATCATTACAATAATTCGAAATTTGTGATGACAGAGGGCGATATTCTCCAGCAACTATATATACGTACGATTTCTCAAATTTTCAATGTTTAATTTTCGGGATTTTTCACTATGAATGTATTTCGATTTTTAAATTTTTAGATTTTTCGACTTCGTTTTTTTTTTATTTTTTACTTATTCTATTTTTCAAAATATTGCGACTTTTTAAATCTTACAGTTTTCGAATTATTAAATTTTAGATTTTTCATTTTTCTGTTGTTTCGATTTCTCAATTTTTCGCCTTATCGTTTTTAAATTTTCCGGTTTTTCAATTATTCCGTTTTTCAAGTTCAACTTTTTCAATTTTCAATTTCCCCAATTTTCGTTTTTTTGCCACTTTCATTTCTCAATTTTTCGATTTTTTGACTTCTCGATCTTTTGATGTTTCGATTTCACGGTTTTTCAATATTTCGATTTCGACTTCTCGATTTCTCAGTTTTTCGATAATTCATCTTTTCGATTTTCCAATTTTTCAACGTTTCAGTTTTGGGTTTTATGTATTTAAATTTTTCGATTTTTTAATTTTTCAATTTCTGGCGTTTCTAAATTTTTGGAATTTTCGATTTCTCAATTTCTCGACTAATCGATTTTTTAATTGTTCGACTTTTCGATTTTCCATCTATTCTCAATTTTTCGATTTCTCAAATTTTTAATTTTAAAGTTTTGGGATTTTTCAATATGTATTTCGATTTTTAAATTTTTAGATTTTTCGACTGTTTCATTTTATTTTTACTTATTGGATTTTTCAAAATATTGCGACTTTTTAAATCTTACATTTTTCGATTTGCTGATGTTTTGATTGCTTGATTTTTAAATGTTTTAATTTTTCGAATTTTTAAATTTTAGATTTATCAATTTTCTGTTGTTTCGGATTCTGAATCTTTCCATTTTTTGCCTCCTCGTTTTTAGATTTTTCGATTTTTCAATTTGCAGAATTAATTTTTCAGTTATTCGATGTTTCGATTTTTCAATTTTCGATTTATTGGGTTTTTTAAGTTTAAATTTTTCAATTTTAAATTTTCTTATTTTTCGATCTTTTGATATCACAATTTTTCGATTTTTCGACTTCTTGACTTATCGATTCTTTTGATATTTTAATTTCGCGTTTTTTCAATTTTTCGATTTCGATTTCTCGATTTCTCAGTTTTTTCATAATTCATTTTTTTCAATTTTTCAATTTTACAACGTTTTAGTTTTGAGATTTATGTACATACATATTTAAATTTTTCGATTTTTTAATTTTTCAATTTTTGGCATTTCTAAATTTTTGGATTTTCAATTTCTCGATTAATCGATTTTTTAATTTTTCAATGTTTAAATTTTGGGATTTTTTCAATATGTATTTCGATTTTTAAATTTTTCAACTTTCTTGTTTTTTATTTTTATTTTTTACTTGTTCGATTTTTCAAAATATTGCGATTTTCTAAATCTTACATTTTTCGATTTTTCGATCTGCTGATGTTTCGATTGCTCGAATTTTTAAATTTTAGATTTTCCAATTTTCTGTTGTTTCTGAATCTCAATCTTTCAAATTTTTTGCCTTTTCGTTTTTAGATTTTTCAATTTTTCGAAATGCATTTTTCAGTTTTTCGATATTTCGATGTTTCAATTTTCGATTTATCGGGTTCTCTAAGTTTAAAGTTTTCAATTTTGAATTTCTCGATTTTTAGACTTCTCGACTTATCGATCTTTTGATGTCTCTATTTCGCGTTTTTTCTATTTTTCGTTTTCCATTTCTCGACTTTTAAGTTTTTCGATCTTTCGATTTTCCAATTTTTTCACGTTTCAATTTTTGGGATTTATGTATTCAAATTTTTCGATTTTTCAATTTTTGGCGTTCCTAAATTTTTGGATTTCCCTCAATTTTTCGATAAATCGATTTTTTCATTTTCCGATCTTTCGATTTCTCAATTTTTCGATTCCTCTGTTGAAGTTTTATTGATTTTTTACTTGCTCGATTTTTCAAAATTTTGCGAGTTTTTACATCTTACATTTTTCAACATTTTCATCTACACATTCGATGTTTCAATGTTGGGATTTTTGGATTTTTTAGATTTTTAAAATTCCTGATTTTTCAATTTTTCGAATTTATAAATTTTATATTTTTCACTTTTTTGTTGTTACGATTTCTTAGTCTTTCCATTTTTTGCCTCCTAATTTTTTGCGATTTTTCGATTTTTGCAATGTTTCGGAATTAATTTTGCAGTTTATCGATATTTCGATTTTTCAGTTTTTCGATTTATTGGGTTTTTTAAGTTTAAAGTTTTCAATTTTGAATTTTTCTATTTTTCGATTTTTAGCTATTTCGATATCTCCATTTTTCAATTTTTCGACTTCTCGATTTCTCAATTTTCCGATTATTCGAGTTTCCAATTGTTCGACGTTTTAGTTTTGGGATTTATGTATTTAAATTTTTCGATTTTTCAATTTTTGGCGTTTCTAAATTTTTGGATTTCTCTCAATTTCTCGATTAATCGATTTTTTAGTTTTCCGATTTTTCGATTTGTTTTTTTTAATTCTGGGATTTTTCAAGATTTCGATTTTTACATTTTTCAACTTTGTTTTTTTTTATTTTTTACTTACTCGATTTTTAAAATTTTGCGAGTTTTTAAATCATACATTTTTCGATTTGCTGATGTTTTAACTGCTCGATTCTTTCAATTTTGAATTTTTCGAATTTTTAAATTTTAAATTTTTCAATTTTTCGGGATTAATTTTTCAGTTTTTCGATATTTCGATTTAACGGTTTTCTTTCGATTTTTCACTTATTCGTTTTTTTTAAGTTCAAATTTTTCAATTTTGAATTTTCGATCCTTAAGCTACTTTCATTTTTCAATTTTTCGACTTCTCGATCTTTTGATATTTCGATTTCGCGATTTTTTAATTTTTCGATTTCTCGATTTCTCAGTTTTTCGATCATTCATTTTTTCGGTTATCCAATTTTTCAACATTTTAGTTTCGAGATTTATGTATTTAAATTTTTCGATTTTTCAATTTTCGGCGTTTTTTTGGAATTTCTCGATTAATTGATTTCTCAAATTTTCAATGTTTAAGTCTTGGAATTTTTCAGTTTTGGGATTTTTTCAATATGTATTTCGATTTTTAAATTTTTAGATTTTTCGAGTGTTTTTTTTTTATTTTTGACTTGTTCGATTTTTCAAAATATTGCGACTTTTTAAATCTTACATTTTTCGATTTGTCTATTTGCTGATCTTTTGATTGCTGATTTTTTAAATTTTCAATTTTTCGAATTTTTAAATTTTAGATTTTCCAATTTTAGATTTTTTAATTTTCTGTTGTTTCGGGTTTTTTAAGTTTAAAGTTTTCTATTTTTCGTTTTCCATTTCTCGATTTCTCAGATTTTCGATTATTCGAGTTTCCAATTTTTCGACGTTTCAGTTTTAGGATGTTCGTTTCAATTTTTGGTGTTTCTAAATTTTTGGATTTTTCGTTTTCTCGATTAATCGATTTTTCAATTTTCCGATTTCTCTGTTTAAGTTTTGGAATTTTACAATTTTGGCATTTTTCAAAATTTCTATTTTTAAATTTTTCCACCTTCTGATTTATTGATTTTTTACTTGCTCGATTTTTCAAAATGTTGTAAGTTTTTAAAACATCTTACATTTTTCAACATTTTCATCTATTCGATATTTTAATTTTTGGATTTTTTTTTTATTTTTAAGTCTTGATTAATCGAACATGTAAATCTTAAGATTTTTCAGTTTTTTGTTATTTCGATTTCTCAGTCTTTCGATTTTTTGCCTCCTCATTTTTAAATTTTTCGATTTTTGCAATGTTTCGGAATCAATTTTTCAGTTTTTGATATTTCCATATTTCGATTTTTTAATTTTTCGATTTATCGGATTTTTTAAAATTCTCTATTTTGATTTTCCCATTTTTCCATCTTTGGCTATTTCAGTATCTTAATTTTTCGACTTTTCGATCTTTTGCCGTTTCGATTTCGCATTTTTTCAATTTCTTCATTTCTCAATTTTTCGATTATTCGAGTTTCTAATTTTGAGACGTTTAGTTTTAGGCTTTATGTATTTAATTTTTTTGATTTTTCAACTTTTGGCGTTTCTAAATTTTTGTATTTCTTTCAATATCTCGATTAATCGATTTTTTAGTTTTCCGATTTTTCGATTTCTCTGTTTAGGTTTCGTTTTTTTTTTTAATTTTGAGATTTTTGAAGATTTCGATTTTTAAATTCTTCGACTTTGTTTTTTTTATTTTTTATTTACTCGATTTTTAAAATTTTGCGAGTTTTTAAATCTTACATTTTTCAACATTTTCATTTATTCGATATTTTAATTTTTGGATTTTTGGTTTTTTTAGATTTTAAAAATTTTTGATTTTTCAATTTTTCGGTTTTGACAAGATTTTTATTTCTCCTTCAAAAACGAAACATCACATATTAAAAAAAAAAAAAAACGCTAGGAGCCCCTAAGATTGTGTAAAATTCTTTCCAACTAAAGAACTCCACGGATCCTCGATTTTTTAAAAGTATTTTAAAAACAAAACACAAGAGGCCCCGAAGATTTTTTTAAATAAAAAAACACTAGGCGCCTGTAAGACTTTCTCTTTTAAAGGCAAAAAATTGGTCTAATGTTATTTAGACAGATCCCTCGCCTATGAAGTAAAAATATATTATCAGTACATGCTTAAATTAATTCCCAAAAATTAAAAAATCGAAAAATGTAAACACTGAAAATTCAAAAAATCGAGCAATCAAAACATCAACAGATCGAAAAATAAAAAACTGAAAAATCGACAAATGTAAGATTTAAAAAGTCGCAACATTTTGAAAAATCAAAAACACGAAAAGTAAAAAAATCCAAAAATTTAAAAGTCGAAGTATTTGAAAGTCCCGAAACTTAAATAGATTTTCAGATGGAAAAAAATAAAATAGTTGTAATATTATACACAATACATTTGCGGAAAACGCTCATGTTGTGCTGATAATTTTTGTGAGTCGTTCGAGAGTTAAATTTCGATTTTGGGACAACCTTTGAAATGCGATCATGTGATGGCAGAACAAAAATACTTAAATTTAAGCAAATCCAATTAGTTTAAAACGTACCCTTTCACGACCATCCGTATCGCTGTCTGAACAGTCCGAATTTTCTGAAGGTGACTCCCATCCTTCTATTTCTCTTTGAATTAACGAATCAAAAAATGCTAGCATTTTCGAATCTTCCTGTGTCGAATGATCACTATAATCATGCGAAATCCTCTCCCCACTGTGTCCAACCAAATAAATATAGTCTTCGTGCGTATAAACTGAACGAAAAACATCTGCATGCTCTTTCTGTAAAGACCCCTTCCAAGTTCCCACAGGCAATGAACTCCACAACTGAAAAATATTGTAAAATAAAACAGCATTTGATTGATTCAACAATGAATACCTTGACCATTTTCTCAACACCTGAAGACGCAATTAGATTATTTTCCTTATTGTAGCGAACTTGGTTCACTATAGATCTATGTCCCCGTAAAACCAAATGAGATTTTCCCCATTCAACATCTAAAAACGATAAATTAATACGTGATAGGTAGTATAACTCAAGAAAATTACTGTCATCATACGGCATTCGCCACATGTATAGATTAAAATCGTCCGATCCACTCAAAACATACTCATCTCCGTCTCCAGCAAAACAACAAGTTTTCATTGTGCAAGAATTATAATATTGAGGGTGGTAGAACTGACAAATGGCACTCTCTTTTTGTGTCGCGTATAACACAGGAGGTAACCTTCGCCTCAGCGCTAAGACTCTGCTCCCAGAAGAATTAAAACATGCACTTATTCCACTAATGGAACCGGCATTTGCATCGTAATGTATTAATAATCTAAAAAAGCAAGAAAAATAAATACCAGAAATAAGTCAGACTGAATTAATTTTTTACTCTTTAGGTTTACGGCAATCCCACAACGCAATTCCCTCTTCTGAATTCGCTGTTGCCAACCATCTTGGATTAGTTGGATTGAACATCACAGAATGAAAACCAGTCTTTTGTTTCGCCAAACACAGTGGATCTAAAAACCAAAACATTTTAAACACGAAAAAAAAAATTATATATTCACCTGAATTCGGGGATTCTCGGACGTCAAACAAAAGAATTCTGCCATCATCCCCAGCCGTGGCCATGACATAGTCGTTTTGTGGATTTATACTTAGCCCATATACAGGTTTTCGATGCGCCAATTTTCCCACTAAATGGCCCCTACAAGCGTCTAGCTGTTAAAATACTAGATTTTGCAAATGTCATAAGATTACGTTATAGCATCATGAATTATGACTTGGTCGTCGTTACCACCCGAAAAAATTTTTGTGTTTCCTGAGTCAAAAGCGAGACAGAATATATTGCTGATGTGATTCGTTTCCATGACCACGGGTGATCCCTTGCCATACATCGCCTCGGGAACTGACCACAGTAGGACTCGTCGATCATCGCCTCCTGTTGAAAGTTTTAAAATAACGAAATTAAACTTGAGTGTATACAATAAAAATTATTAAAAGGTTATTTCGACAAAACTTCCTTCATCCTTGACAGCTTCGTTAAAAAATTATAAAATTTGATTTTACGACAATGTAAAATACATTTAAAACAGCTAACCAATGGGATAAAATGTCCTCTCAGCACTAATAACAAACTTATCTCAAGTGTTTATGTTTATATGTACATCGAAAGAATGTCACGTATAAATTAGTAAAAATTTGAACGAGTTTGTCTCAAAACTGAGAACTAAAATTATTAATTGAGCCACAATGGAACAAAATTGGTCGATTAGTTGTTTCGACAGAACTTCCCTCGCTCCTAAAGTACAATGAAGCTAATCCAGCATATTCGAGTTGAGTTTTTTCTTTACACAATTTTGTGTAATTTTTTCTTTACAACATTTCTGCAAGGACACGTATATCAACTTGGATTGGTGCAGTGTAATACTAAAAATAACAGTGTTGTATTCCCAAAATTTATTATTGTTGTATTCCGGAAAAACGGAGTCAGTAAAATAAATTGACCCATTCATTTTTTTTTGAGTTACTCCGTATTAGCAAATCTAAAAAATATGAATGCTTTGAGAAACCATAAGTATAGACTGATCACATTTTGCTAGTATTACCTACCTCGATTTTGGCAAATGACATACCCTCTAAGAAAATAGAGGGCGGGTGGGCGGAGCTAGTATAATAATGATTTTGACAAGTGACGGACTCTCTACTTTCTAAGAAAATTGAAGTGTTAAGGTACAATAACAAACATTAATAATGATTAATAATCGAAAAATCAAAAAATGAAAACATCAAAAAATCGAAAAAATAAAAAAATTAAGAAATCGAAAAATCTAGTAACTGACGAATTTAAAAACTTACTTAAAAAACCCCAAAAATTAAATATCGACAAATTGAAAAATTCAGGAATCGAAACATCGAAAAAATGAAAAATCTAAATAAAAAAAATCTAGATAGCAAAAATTCGATAAAAAAACTGACGAATCAAAATATTGAAAAATTACAAAATTAAAATATTGAAAAGTTGAAAATCGAAGAAAAATTGAAGAATCGAGAAATCGAACTAACTGGAAATCGAGAAACTGAAAAATCGAAAAATGGAAACATCAAAAAATCGAAAAAACTGAAAAATTGTGGAACCTTAAATTTGAAACAAAAATTGAAAAATCGAAAAAATAAAAAAATCAAGAAATCGAAAAATTGTGAAACCGACGAACTTAAAAACTTACTTAAAAAAACCCAAAAATAAAATATCGAAAAACTGAAAAATCGATGAATCGAAACATCGAAAAAATGAAAAATTGAAAAACCTAAACAAAAAAAAATCTAAATAACAAAAAAGCGATAAATCGAAAAATCAAAAAACTGACGAATCAAAATATTGAAAAATCACAAAACTAAAATAACGAAAAGTTGAGAAATCGAAGAAAAATTCAAAAATCGAGAAATCGAATCATCGAAACATTGAGAATTCGAAAAATCAAAAAATTGAAGAGTCGAATTATTGAAAAATCTCAAAACTGAAATATCGAAAAATTGAAAAATCGAAGAATCGAAGAAGTGAAGAATGGGAAAAAATCAAAAAATTTAGAAATCCAAAAATTGAGTCTAAAAACTGAAACATCGAAAAATGGAAACATTAAAAAATCGAAAAAATTAAAAATTGTGGAGTCTTGAATTAAAAAAAATTGAAAAATCGAAAAAGTGAAAAACCAAGAAACCTAAAATCGAAAAACTGACGAATCAAAATACTGAAAAATCACAAAATTAAAATATCGAAAAATTGAAAAATCGAGGATTCGAAACATCGAAAAAATGAATAATTGAAAAACCTAAATAAAAAAAGAAAAATCTAGATAGTAAAAAATCGATAAAATCAAAAAACTGACGAATCAAAATATTGAAAAATCACAAAACTAAAATATCGAAAAGTTGAAAAATCGAAGAAAAATTGAAGTATCGAGAAATCGAAGCATTGAAAAATTCAGAAATGTAAAAGCTGAAATATCGAAAAATTGAAAAATTGAAGAAAAATTCAAGAATCCAAGAAGTGAAGAATGGAAAAAATCTAAAAATTTAATCGAAAAACTGAAATATTGTAAAACTGAATAATCGAATAACTGGAAATCGAGAAACTGAAAAATCGAAAAATGGAAACATCAAAACACCGACGAACTTAAAAACTTACTTAAAAAACCCCAAAAATAAAATTTCGAAAAACTGAAAAATCGAGGAATCGAAACATCGAAAAAACGAAAAATTGAAAAACCTAAATAAAAAAAAAATCTAAATAGTAAAAAATCGATATAACGAAAAATCAAAAAATTGACGAATCAAAATGTTGAAAAATCACAAAACTAGAATAACGAAAAGTTGAAAAATCGAAGAAAAATTCAAAAATCGAGAAATCGCATCATCTAAACATTGAGAATTCGAAAAATCAAAAAATTGAAAAATTGGTCTAAAGAGTTTAGACAGTACTTCCCTCGCTGTCGGAAACTTGACGACTGCATGCCTATTGTGTTTTTTTTCTCATTACATTTTTGTAGTGGGAATTTAAAAAAAAATTGCGATGACGTCATCAACATTTTTACAAGGACACGTATATCAGTTGGGATAGATGTAGTGTAATACTAAGAATAAAATTATTATATTCTCAAATTTTCGGGAAAATGAATTGGGTCGTTTTGAATATTGATTTGTAATAATCAATAAAATAACGAAACAATTTGCTCACGTATACGTATCAGAGGCAACTGAAAATCGTGTATGTATAAACATTCTTAATTTAAGATGACAGGCGTAACAGCATACGTGAGAGTCAAACAGAGAAACTGTAAACAAAACGACCATCGGTTTTATTGCTTCGACTTCCGCTTATTATATAAAACATTGGGTTTTATTTTAATTCTTGACGGTGAAATTCACAATTGGTTGATTATAAACATGTCTATTTCACATTCGCGGAACCAAGTGAGCGCATAAAACAAATGCAGGTCTGTAATGTTAAAGTCGATGTAAATAAGCGTGCTACCCTTATGTTTCAACCGAGTTTTTCCTTTAACAAATTTTGTGTCTACCAAATTGGGTTGGTTGGGGTGTAATACTAATAAGTGTTGCCTTTAATTTAATCAATAAAATAAATTGACTTCATTAATTTTTTTGAACCACCTCTTAAGAAAATCTAAAAAATATGAATGGAATGATAAATCACAAGTACAAACTCATCATATTTTTTGCATTTTAGATAGGATTTATTCAGCAAAATTACGGGTGACGTCATCAATTTTTTTAGGAGGGATGAACAAATACATTTTGAACAAAAGTTTACCATGCTTATAATAACTTTAAAATATTCCCAAGATTTCAAAGCATTCGGTTTTGTAATTCCTGATTAAATCGATAAAATAAATTCACGCCTTCATTAATTTTTTTGAGTCACCCTGCATATGCAAATCCAAAAATATGAATGGAATGATAAATCACAAGTACAGACTCATTATATTTTGTACATTTTAGATACGATTTATTCGGCAAACTTTTGAGCTGACGTCATCAGTTTTTTGTAAAAGATAACCAAATATATTTTGACTAAAAATTTATTATGCTCTTTATAACCTTAAAACATCTGCAAGATTTCAAAGCATTCGGTTTTGTAGTTCCTGATTAAATCAATAAAATAAATGTACACATTCATTAATTTTTTTGAGTCACCCTGTATATGCAAATCGAAAAAATTTGAATGGAATGATAAATCACAAGAAGAGACTCACCATATTTTGTACATTTTAGATAGGATTTATTCAGCAAAATTTTGTGGTGACGTCATAAATTTTTTAGGGGGGACGACCAAATACGTTTTGATCAAAAATTTACCATGCTTATGATAATTTTAAAATATCTTCAAGATTTCGAAGCATTCCGTTTTGTAGTTCCTGAGTAAATCAGTAAAATAAATTTACGCTTTCATTTATTTTCTTGAATCACCCTGTATATGCAAATCCAAAAAATATGAATGGAGTGATAGACCACAAGTACAGACTGATCATATTTTGTACATTTTAGATATGATTTATTCGGCAAATTTTCGAGCTGACGTCATCAAGTTTTTGGAGGGGATAAGCAAATATATTTTGACTAAACATTTATTATGCTCTTTATAACCTTAAAACATCTGCAAGATGTCAGAGCATTGCGTTTTGTAGTTCCTGATTAAATCAATAAAATATATTTATGCATTCATAAATTTTTTTGAGTCACTCTGTATATGCAAATCCAAAAAATATGAATGGAGTGATAGATCACAAGTACAGACTGATCATATTTTGTACATTTTAGATATGATTTATTCGGCAAATTTTCGAGCTGACGTCATCAAGTTTTTGGAGGGGATAAGCAAATATATTTTGACTAAACATTTATTATGCTCTTTATGACCTTAAAACATCTGCAAGATTTCAGAGCATTCGGTTTTGTAGTTCCTGATTAAATCAATAAAATATATTTACGCATTCATTAATTTTTTTGAGTCACCCTGTATATGCAGATCCAAAAAATATGAATGGAGTGATAGATCACAAGTACAGACTCATCATATTTTGTACATTTTAGATATGATTTATTCCACAAACTTTTGAGCTGACGTCATCAAGTTTTTGGAGGGGATAAGCAAATATTTTTTGACTAAAGATTTATGATGCTCTTTATAGCCTTAAAACATCTGCAACATTTCAAAGCATTCTGGTTAGCAGATTAAAAATTAAATTTCAAAATGTTGTTTTATAATTTTGATTTTTTTTCCAAAAATCTGGACGTTTCGGGTGAAAAGTCGATTCAGAGTTGTAAACTAAATGTGTAGGACTATGTTATTTTGTACAATTGAAAACCCATTTACTATGTACAATTTTGAAGTGACGTCATCGCATTAGTGGTGGGGATGATTAG